TTTCCCTATTTAGAGGAAACCTTGAACTGAAACTGAATTGAACTGAAAGCAAAACCCCAAAGGCAAAATCCACCCAAAATAAGGACAAGCCAGTGAGAATGTGATGTACCTGAGTGCCCAGGCGTCTAGCGAGAAGAGAGACTCACCATACAGCAGATGGCTCAAGCCGCCTAATATGGATGAAGCTATTTTAAAGGACAATGCATTTTAGGGGGAAAGTAATTCGGAAATGAACAAGAAAGACAATCCAAAGGAACAGATAATGCCGAGCACTACCTGCCAATCAGACACTCAGCAGGGCTGGCACATTTTTGCCATGTTTTTACATTGTATTTTACATTATATTTTCCAAATGAGGCTCCATCACAGGCTCGCTGATGGTCTAGCTGAGGGGACATCGCATTCCTCCACCTCATAGCCAGGTCATCTAGAATTAAGGGGGGGGCAGCATCTACACATGTGCAGGACTAGAGTAGAGTACCTGTGAGGTGGTGGGCGTGTCTTCAACACAAGGCAGAGACCAGCAGCCCTGCTCAGCTCAGTCAGTCGGGAAGCAGGCTGCAGAGATAGCCTGGTGAGTAAGCGCACTTGCTGTGTAAACACAGGACCTGAGTTCAGGTCCTAGCACCGACGACACAAAAAGCTGAGTGTGACCATGCACATCCCTGTAACCCCCGTGCTGAGGCAGGGTAGAGACAGGAGGATGGCTGGGGCTCGTTGGCTACTGAATAGCTCCAGCTTTGTGGAGAGGCCATACCTCGAGGGACTTAGTGGAGACCGATAGACCCAGGGTCCTCTGTGGCCTCGGCACACACACACACACACGTTTACATACCATATGCATACTCACATAAAAGACATTTAGAGACAATAGGCACACATCATAAATAGAAAACTAAGAACAAATAAGTGTGAAAGCAAGGAATCCGACACTGGAACACTGGAAAAGCAGCTCTAACTGCAATCCTAGCATGGGGTTAGAGTCGGTGGTGGGGACAGTGGTGGGGACGGGTGGCTAGGGCAGGAAGCCATCTCAAGTGTGAGGCAGCCTGGGCTACAAAGCGAGCTCAAGCAAACCAACCCATCTTCCCTCCTTTCCTCCCTTCCTTTCAGGTCTTTTTTTTTTTTTTTTTTAAAATTATTCTAACAGGAATGTCCCGACAGACCTGGTTTATGCTGTAAATTTCATGTCAAACCATTTGTATCTATTTTTTCAAAAATTATTCTAACAGGAATGTCCCAACAGACCTGGTTTATGCTGTAAATTTCATGTCAAACCATTTGTATCTATTTCATACTGGATACTACTGTATCTATTTATAAATTGGATATGCTGCATTATTTTAAGAAGTCCCTGAAAAATATGCTGATATTCCAAATTAGGAACACAAGTTTTGTAATGAGGAGAAGACTAAGGGAAAAAAAGAAGAAATCACAATTCTTGGCTTACCATATACTGGCAAAAACGTGAGGTAATTCAGATGACTAATGTTATAGGCTTCAATTCTAACATCTTTCCAGATTCCTTGAGAGGGAAAGGAAGGCCCCCAGTCCCAGCTGAAGGAGCACTGCTCCTGTAATTTCAAGGGAAGAAAAAGAGAGGTGTGTTCTGGTTACTTGGAAAATTAAACATTATGAAAACTCTTTTCAAAGAGTGAGGTCAATAAGAGCTGAACATAAGACACACGTTTATGAAAATGTCATGAGGCACCGGGCGTTAGTGGCACATGCCTTTAATCCCAGCACTCGGGAGGCAGAGGCAGGTGGATCTCTGTGAGTTCGAGGCTAGCCTGGTCTCCAGAGCGAGTGCCAGGATAGGCTCCAAAGCTACACAGAGAAACCCTGTCTCGAAACACCAAAACAAAAAAAGACAAGAAAGAAAGAAAGAGAGAGAGAGAGAAAGAGAAAGAAAGAAAATGTCATGAGGCTAAATGAAAAAGTTAGAGTAGAAGGAAAGGTCTGTCTTTAAAATATTATATACACATTCATGTATTAGTTTACTTATGATGCTGTAGCAAAACACACGGGCTGGCTGGGGAAGACGTCTCTGCTTCTCTCTTCTGCGGTCCAGATCTCCTTACTCTAAACACCCCATTTAACTTGACAAGGATGACTCCAAATACAGTTACAGTTACATTCTGAAATCCTTAAGTAGATGGGGTGCTCTAAACTTCAACATTTAGTAAGTTTGGAGCACACAGTTCATCCCCTAACTACTAACTAGGTGTGTGTGTGTGTGTGTGTGTGTGAGAGAGAGAGAGAGAGAGAGAGAGAGAGAGAGAGAGAGAGAGTCTGCTGCTCGTGTCCACCTCCCTTGCACATGTGCTAGATAAAGAAAAACCACTTTCCTATGAATAGAATATAGCAGAGGTGACATCATTTCCAAAATTAGATTATATACTGGCCCTTCTGTTTGGACCTGGTCCCATGCTCTCTTGGGGCCAAGAGGGAAGCCAGCTGCTGTGTCCGGGAGGGCACAGCGCTGTTGGAGGCCGCACGAGAGATCTGGGAACAAGATCTAAAACCTCTTGACAGCCATGGAGAGCTCAGAACTCTTGTCATCCTCGGACAGGCGCAAGGTGATGGCTTGATTAAAAGCCTCTGAGCTTAGGTGCCCAGCCAAGCTGTACTTAGGTTTCCAACTGACAGCACAAGTGTAGTCTAGGCTGAGAAATGCTGGTTTAGTTTGCAATAGATTATTATTATTTGCTATGCTGATTATTACTATAGTAACCAAAATATCAACCTAAGTGCCATAGTAAATTTATCAAGAAGAACATAAAATGTAGTTATAAATTATTTTGCATTCATCCTTCAAAAGCCTATTATATCGGAGCAACATTATTTTTTTTTTTTTTTTCTTTTCAAGTGTCACTTTGGAGCCCAGGCTTTCGCTAATCCCGTGCTCCTCCTGGATGGGCCTGAAAGTGCTGGGACTACAAGCAGCAAACTCTGCCCCCTTCCCTGCCTCTCCTCCCCCACCTTCACTCACTGCTTTCCCTTTCACTTTCCCCCAATAAAAAGTCCCTCCATCCAAGCTCTGTCACATGGCGTCCTTCTCTCTAAAGCTCTCCAAAATACTGCTGGGCCTAACCACTGTATTCAATAAAACAATTCGAAAAATGAGCAGCCTCATTGAAAGATAAAGATATTATTAACACATTTAAGAAAAAAGCAAACAAACTAGCCTTAGCCCCTAACTCATTAAGTATGAACTCAACAGTCCTTGTTTGGGACTACCAGGCACAAAGACAATCACTTCAGACTTCAGACTCTGACCTGGGTGGCTACCTGTCAGAGAGATACAATCTTATCTGCCGCCAGGCTACCTGACTGAGAGCCAAGACACTAAAAAATTCCAATTATGACATTACAAAGGTTCAGATTCAAATAGCAGGAGATGATTATGTAAAGATAACTTCTCCTCAAGGGAGTGGGGTTGGAAAGAGAGGATACTGGAATCCTAGTGATAAGAAAGCAGAAGAGGAAGAGACCACCTGGGGGCAGAGGGGAAGCTGCTGGGAACAGGCCGGGTATACCAGGAGAGCAGTGGGGGAGGGGAGCAACCGAGAACAAAGCCAAAAGCCACTCCTTCACGAATTGCCATAGTAAAAAGCACTACTTTGTGTGCTAATCTAAAAATTTAATTAAAAAAATGGAAATAAATAAAAAAATATATAATCGTGACAAGCAGAAATTTTTCTTTTATTTCTTAAGAGAAAACAAATTCTCAAAATGATAAAATCTATGACACTTTGATCTCAGCCTTGGAAAACAAGGCCTAAAAGAAGCTGCCTGAGCTTGGGGAATGAATGTGTCTGTTCACAGAGGATCCGGTTAAACTGCTCTCTCATCGAAGTTTCATTTCCTTCGCTGTGCGTTTATGTTAGAGAATGATAAAGGTGTTTCTACTACAGAAAAAACAGTAAGTGTGGCTCCATCAAATAAGCTTCTCTTTGCAACAGAGACCATTCCAGAAAATTCGTGTGTGTGTGTGTGTGTGTGTGTGTGTGTGTGTGTGTGTATTTAAATTCGGAAACATGCTTCAGGAAGAAAACCTAGAAGAATGAAGATTCACCTCCAAAATTCAGAAGATATTCCCCCCCACACACACACTGAATCTTCAAGTATGATGGAAGGATTAGGAGATAGAGAACTTTGAAGATGCCCCTGGAAGGAATTAAGTAAGTGCTCACATACTAGCCAAGCCCATGCATTTGAAAGAGCATTACCTTTCGGATAAAGTTGACATGGCATTCACCCTTCTGCTCCTTGGGGGGGCAGGCTGGAGGCACTGGGTAGCTAGTGTGAGCTTTGCTCTGAAGCTTGGCATATTGTACTGCCGACTGGAACCGCAGCTCTAAGGAGTTCGTGTCTCTGACCACTTTGGTGATGTCAAAACTCTGAAGTAAAGAGAAGGAACACTCAAATCCACATGGAAGAGCTAGTCCCGTGCATAAAAACTTAGATAAAGGCAGACTACATGAAAGACGCACACACTAAGTCAATCTAGAACTAGCCTCATTAACAGGAAGCATACTTCTGAAATAGAATTCAGTGCCCACCCTTAGTTATAGCTCCACTCTCCTGTCCAAGCATAGGCTTCTAGGCTTCTCCTATTTTTACTGACAGAATTATGGCCCCAGAGAAATATGCAGAGCAGAGAGTATCTTTAGCCCCGAAATATCTGCTCTGGCTTGTGTACATGGATGGCCTCGAGCTGCCAAGGGTTCCTAGACACTTTATCCCTTGAATGCATAGTGTGTGCTTCTAACTCATAAGTTATTTTTGTTTTCCAAAGCACACCCTTGAAACAGAAGGAAAATAAGGATACAATTTCAGAAAAGAAGAAGAAAAAAAAAAAAAAAACTCCTTTTCAATGGTCATTTCCCATGAAATGCTGGACCACCAGGCCACAGAAAAGTGAATAGTAAAGTTGAAGCTGTAATTTACTTCCTCAAGGATGGCAGAACCACCATGGGATTTGCATCGCCTTATTATCCTACAAACAGGGCACTCGAGAAACTCAGTAATTTGGTCTTGTATTTGACCCATGGCCAACTATGTAACTAGCCTTCCCTATTCACACCAGGGACACAAAGGCACCCCCTTTAATCTGGAGTCATCGTGTACTTACATAGCCAGTGAACATGTTGTCTGTCTTCCCAATGGTGACATTATTGAGCAGGATTTCTGCAACTGTATCAACTCCTTCAAAAATCAACTTTACTTTCTGCCAATTACTAAGAAACATCAAAAGAAACATCAAAAGATTATAAAAATATGATGCATGAAACATTTATTTAAGTCTCTTTGGAATCAGTTAAGAACTAACAAAGTAAATATTTTACAGGAAAATATACAACTGTGGTTGTCTTAATTAGGGTGTCTTTTGCTGTAGTAAAACAGCATGACCAAAAGGAACTTGAGGGAGAAAGAGCTGGTCTCAGTTTACAGCTCTCTGGTCACATTCCATCACTGAGGGACACCAAGGTAAGAAAGTGGAAGCCATGGAGGGGTGCTGCTCACTGGCTTCCTCCCCATGTCTTGCTCAGTTGGCTTTCTTATGCAGCGCACAGTCACCTGTTTAAGGGCTTACTACCCACAGTGAGCAGAGTCCTCCCACATTAGCTATTAATTAAGAAAGTGTTCCCTCCGGGGGTGGTGGAGCACTACTTTAATCCCAGCACTCGTGAGGCAGAGGCAGGCGGATCTCTGTGAGTTCAAGACCAACCTGGTCTACAAGAGCTAGTTCCAGGACAGCCTCCAAAGCCACAGAGAAACCCTATCTCGAAAAACAAGCAAAAACAAAAAACAAACAAACAAACAAACAAAAACAAAGAAAGAAAGTGCTCCCACAGGTTTGTCTTCAGGCAGATGCTATGGAGGGATTTTCTCAATTGTGGTTCCCTCTTAGATAACTCTAGCTTGTGTCAAGTAGGAAGAAAAAAGGACAGTGGTGATGGCTGTAGAACTCTGAATACACTAAATACCATTGAATTGTACCTTAAGTAAATTTCACGTTATACAAATCAGAGCTCAATAAAACTTCTCATAAAGATAAGTGGAAATGCCTAGGTCGATCACCTTGCAAAGTCCTAAGAACATCAATTACTTTCAAGATAAAGACTTTTCATTTAGACATGTCACTTGGGCTGGGAAGCTGAGAAGTAGAGATTGGTCAAATCATGGGTCCATAGCAGGGTCAGAGGCAGTACAGGCCGTACCATAGCCACCAGCAATTTTCACAGGTGCACAGAGAAGCAGGGGATTTTTTTCCTGAGGGAAAACATTTGGAGGAGAAAATGTAATGTTTCTTCACATGATCAAAGCAAATGCAAGACACCGGATTGTTTCTGGGCAAAGCAGGAAACTGGAAAACAGGAGGAGCTTTACTAAGAGAAATGTCAGAAAAATGTTAACGAACTTAGAAATGATGGGCGAACTTAAAGCAATGAAGAAAAGACCGAGGAGGCAGAATCCCATCCCTAAGCACAAATTTGGAAGAGGTGCCTCATTGTTCCCTGAAGAAGAGCAATGAGGCCGCTGGGATGTAAAGCTAGCTTCACTGTAAAGCTAGTTTCACTAGGGGAAGTCAGCAGCTGGATTTGGAATGCTATGTTGAAAGTGAAATGGAACTTTTTTTTTTAAAGACAGAATCTCAGGGAGCCCAGAGTGACCTGGAAGTAACCATGTAATGGGAGACAAGGTTCTTGTGAGAGATATTTTAAGTGTTTTCTGGAAATAAGAGCATGGAACACACGGAAGTTCCATGTGGCTTGTTTTTCAGCTATGGGCATTGAACCCAGGGCCTATGCATACTAGACAAGCTCTCTATCCCAGTCTGTGGCTTTAGATTTTAAAGAGATAATAAGCAATAATCAGAAATTCCATATACTAAATAATTTTTAAAAATTAGTAATAATGGTGGCTTACATTCTCTTCACCTAGAATATTTTCTGAAAATAACAAAACATTACTGAAAATAATAGTTGTACTTTTCTTCATGGCCCCACGATGTAGTTAGTATAAGGTCAAGGTCATAGTATCAGTGCTTGTTTAGCACTAAAACAAAAGAATTATGTATCTCTGATCTTCCTGACAATACTATAGAACTAGGGACATAAAGCAATATATGAGGCTCTGAGTCCAGAGCCAACTACCATTCCTACACATACATACATACACACACATACACATACACACACTCACAGATACACATACAAACACATACACACATACACACACACACACACTCACAGATACACATACAAACACATACACACATACACACACACACATACACACACAAATACACATACACATACAAACACACACACACTCACAGATACACATACAAACACATACACACATACACACACATACACACACACACACATACACATACAAACACACACACACACTCACAGATACACATACAAACACATACACACATACACATACAAACACATACACACATACACACACATACACACACATACACACACACACACACAAAGAAACACTTCACAAAAATACTGCCAATCAATACATTCTCCTAGTTTGGGTAGGTAGAGAGGAGGAAATGTATGTAAAGAACTAACAGGATTTAGAGGACCACATACCCACTGGAAAAATTATTTCCTATTCCCTAAGGCACACTGATGATCAGTGATACCATCCTAATGTAGAAAAAAAACATAATTGCACAGTCACTTCAATGACACCAAGATTTAATCTGATTTAACTCTGAGATACAACCTAAGCAGACAAACATAAAAAAAAAAATCTCAGGCAATAATAAAATACGTATATATAGATTTTATGATATAGAATATATAAACATATACACACCTGACATTAAAGGGGATTTTGAATTTCTTGCTGTAGGTCCAGTTTTCTAAGGAAATCCATCTGTAGTTGAGGTCATTAAATCTGTAGTAAGGATCCTGTTGGTACAACAAGGCAAACGCTAAGGTAGACCACTAAATGCTAAAAGTGAATGGGTAAAACAGGTAACAAACAAAAGCTACTGATCACCTAAAAATGAATGAACTCTTGGCCGGGGTGTATAAAAAGGTAAGCCAGATCGTTAATACTACGAATGTAGGCTATAGATCAGAGGCTACAAGTCTAGCTGACTTGTACAAGGCCCTGAGTGCGGTGCTCAGCACCATAACACATCAAAAAGGTGGGGGAAATTTTCCAGTAATACATCTGAAATGAAAGAGCTCTGGGATACAAATAATACGTTAATTTATCAGAGAACATATCTGGAGATATATACTGTCTCTCTTTGTATTGGGGTGTGTGTGTGTGTGTGTGTGTGTGTGTGTGTGTGTGTGTGTGTGTGTGTGTGTTTGTGTGTGTGTGTGTGTGTGTGCAAGCACTACAACATATGTGTGGCGGTCGGAAGACACCATGGAAGAGTCAGCTCTCTAATTCCACCACGTGGTTCCAAGGACTGAACTCGGCCATCAGGCTTGGCAGCAAGCATCTACACCCACTGAACCATCTCAATGGCCCTGCCCCCTCTTAAAACCAAACACAGAGCCTCCACAGTATCGACAGCAAATGATAACCAGAAGCGATGGGACACACAAACTTCTCCCATGGTCATTTGGTCATTGTTGCCACTACCCCAGATGGCCTCCAGGGGGAGCCCATCTCCTCTACTGCCCAAAGTTCAGCAAAACTCCCTTTCTTAAGGGAGTTTAAGCATTTCCTTCAGCATTCCCAGGTAACTTTTAACCATGCTTTCCTAAGTGAGCACTGAAAGGGTCGGGTGTAGTACACGCACTGCCAGACTCACAAGACTCAGATATCCCGTATTATCCACGTTAGCAACCCTCAACCCCGTGAGCTTGAGTCTGTGTGGCAGCCAGCCAACGAGGACCATGGCTGATAACTAAATGTTGTGGATGGATTATTGCGAAGGCATGGATACCTCCCTTTGATTCCCCAGCACCCCATGAAGGCTGAATGGAGGGCTGGAGAGATAGCCCAGCAGTTAAGAGCACTTGCTGCTTTCCCAGAGGGCCAGGATTCAATTCCCAGCCTTCAAACGGCGGCTCACAACCATCTGTACCTCCTTTTCAAAGAAATCCAATGCCCTCTTCTGAACTTCGTGGGCACTGGGCACATATGTGGTAGGTACACAGGCATGCATTTAGGCAAACCACTCATGCACATAAAATACAAATTTCAACTCTAACTTCTTTCTTCCCCCCAGAGACAGGGTTTCTCTGTGACTTTGGAGGCTGTCCTGGAACTAGCTCTTGTAGACCAGGCTGGTCGCCTCAGGAGTGCTGGGATTAAAGGCTTGTGCCACCACCGCCTGGCTCTAACCTTTTTTTTAAAGGACAATGAGTCAAGCTTTACAGGCCTCTGCATGGGCTATTGACATCCCAGATAGGATTGTCACAGCCAGCCCAACTGTAATAAAAGAAAAACTATTTATAGGAATTTATTATCTAGCCGGGCAGTGGTAGCACACACCTTTAATCCCAGATTTTTGGGAGGCAGAGGCAGGCGGATCTTTGTGAGTTCGAGGCTAACCTGGTCTACCAAGAGCTAGTTCCAGGACAGCCAGGACTGTTAAACAGAAAAACCTAGTCTCAAAAACTCTGGTCTACAGAGTGAGTTCCAGGACAGCCAGGGCTACCCAATGAAACCCTGTCACGAAAAACAACAACAACAAAAATACAGAGCGTACACACAATGTGTGTATGTATGAATGGGAGTATGTGTGCACAGGATGGAAGGGAGTGTTAACAGACCAGGAGCCAGATGGCCAGAGGCTTGGGTGCTCTTCATCAGTTCACTAACCCACGTCCATTGTGTTCTTCGGAGAACCATTGCCATTCTCAATAAGCTATTTCTAACTTGGAAGACATGGCATTTTCTTTCTCTCTCCCCCAGTAGCTGCCAAGATTTCTGCCTAACCTGTACCATTTTTCTACTAAACTCGAATCCAATTTGTCTTAAGCTTCAAATAGTAGTAAGGTGGAGAGCAATAGAGGAGAACCCTGTATCTACACACAGGAACACGGGCAAACACACACACAGCCACACACCATACACACAAAGAAAGCCTTAATGAGCTCAAGCCACACCCGTGCTTCAGGCATAATCATGGCTGTTTCGTGCTGCTAGTAGCAGAGGTGAGTAGACAGGACAGAGACCAAATGGTCCCCAAAGCATCTTCGGACTTTTTACAGACACACCTGCCACTCCCTGCCCTAGGCTCCATTTGAGTACCCGGTTCTTAGTCCTCCCTTGCATCATCCCTAGGCCTTTCTTTGCTGTCCATTTCCCACCTTTCCTTTCTCAGAAGGGCTGTTCCTCAGGAAACAGGATCAATAGTAGTAGGTGTGAATACTGAAGAGCAGTAGCTGAAGCGCACAGGTCACCTGTGAACATAACCATGGCTACAGAGAAGGAAGTGAGGGAGAAACCTGGGCTGCTGGTAACTGTCAGCTAGACACAAATTTAATCTAGGAAGAGAGAATCGTAAGTGAGAAAAATGCCCCTATCAGATTGCCAGGTAGGTAATTTTGTGGGGAACTGTCTTGATTAATGATTGATTATGAGATGGCCCAGTCCACTGTGGGTGATGCCACGCCTAGGAAGGTGGCCTTGCTTGTATAAGAAATCAGACTGAGCAAGACATGAAGAGCAAACCAGTAAGAGGCATTCCTCCAATGTACCTGCTTCACTTCTTATCTTAGCTTGACTCAGTGGATTGTAACCTAGGCTGTGTGTGCTGACTAGTTTGATGTGAACCTGACAGAAGCTAGAATCATCTGAAAGAGGGAACCTCAGTCAGGTAGTCACGGCTAGGTATGCTGGTGCATGCCTTTAATCACCGTTAGGAAGCAGATATAGGTGGATCTCTTGTGAGTTTGAGACCAGCCTCATCTACATAATGAGTTCCAGGATAGCTAGAGGATATAGCCAGAGGGACATAATGAAACCCTGTCTCAAAAAACCAAAAAAAAAAAAAAAAAGAACCTCACTTGAGAAAATGCCTCCGTACTCGATAACATCAAGCTGTAGGCAACCCTGAAGAGCATTTTAATAATTAGTGATTAATGGGGAGGGGCCCAGCCCATTGTGGGTGAGGGACACCCCTGGGCTGTTGGTCCTGGGTTCCTTGAGAAAGCAGGCTGATAGTAAACAAGGAGGACCCTAAGAGAGACATACATGGTCCCCTGGAGAAGGGGAAAGGGACAAGATCTCCTGAGCAAATTGGGAGCATGGGGGGAGGGGAGAGGGAACTAGGAGAATGAGAAGGGGAGAAGAGAAGGAGTGAGGAGGACATGAGGGAGCAAGGAGGTTGAGTTGGGGGAAGAACAGAAGAGAGCAAGATAAGAGATAGTTGGTGGAAGTAGAAGCAGACACCCACAGCTAAACCTTGAACTGAACTGGAATCCAGTTGCAGAGAAGGAAGACTGATGAGCAAAGGGGTCCAGACCAGGCTACTGAAACTAACAGAAACAGCTGACCTGAACAAGGGAGATCTCTTGGTCCCCAGACTGATAGCTGGGAAACCAGCATGGGACTGATCCAGAGCCCCTGAATGTGGGTGTCAGTGAGGAGACCTCGGAAATCTATGGGGGTCCCTTGTAGTGGATCAGTACTTATCCCTAGCATAGGAATGGACTTTGGGAGCGCATCCCACGTGGAGGGATACTCCCAGAGCCTAGACACAAGGGGGTGGGCCTAGGCCCTATCCCAAAGGCTATGACAGACTCTGAAGACCCCGTTATGGAAGTCCTCGCCCTCCCTGGGGAGCAGAAAGGGTATGGGATAGGTAAGGTGTTAGTTGGGGGGGCAGGGGTGGAGGAGAGGGAGAGGGAGCTGGGATTGAGATGTAAAATAATCTTCTTTCTCATTAAAATAAAAAAATTATAAAAAAAAAAAGAAAGAAAAGAAAGCAAGCAGGCTGAGTGAGCCACAAGGAATAAGCAAGCCAGTAAGCAGCGCCCCTCCATGGCCTCTGCATCAGCTCCGGCCTCCAGGTTCCTGCCCTGTTTGAACTCCTGTCCTGACTTCCTTTGATGATCTGTAATGTGGAAGTGTAATTCAAAAACAAACCTTTTCTCCCAAGTTTCTTTGGTCACAGTGTTATATCACAGCAATAGAAACCCTAAGACAGGCTGGGTGTTGTTTTCTCAAGGGCGGTGACTCTGGAGAAGAAAAACCCAGTGTCATTCAAGTTCTATTGAAATGAGAACTGAAGGACCATGCTTGACTGGCAGTGGCCATCTGGGCAGCTGTCCCCAGTCCCCACCCATAAAGTAGCACCATAAAGTCCCCAGGGCAGTGCCCTAAGATCAAGATTCCTATCTGTGATACATTGCCCCTAAATAGTGCTTTGATAAGCAGCTGAGGAGAGGGAGATAAGAGATTCAGTGCCACCAAACAGATTTTTATTTTAAGATCTGCTTAATGATGAGGCTCTGTTAGACGGTGTGTTTAAATCCAGTCAACCTGCTTCCTGTTTGCTTCTCCTGAATACAGGACTGAGCCTCTCCAGTGAATAAACACAAAATAAATATTTAAAGACACGGGATGGAAGAGACACTCAATTATTAGCTTGTCCAAGTATCTCTACTCAGCCCTATTTATAACTGCACGGTGGACTTAAACCACGATAGTTAAAAATATCAGAAAAAAATACCAAGGAACTTTGAGGACAGCTCAGCCAAGTATCTCAACATGCTGAGCCCCAGGAGGACTAGCGGGCCATCTGGCCAGCAGGTCTTGGATCTCCTTCCTGTTTCTCAGCTACTTGTAGAAAGCTACATGGTAAACTCAAGAAGGCAATTGTGCTAGATGTATTTTCTCCACCCAAACAGAATTTACAGATTAATTTCTCCCACTTGTAAGATTTCAACTTTTGCTGGGTGTTGGTGGCGCACGCTTTTAATCCCCGCACTCGAGA